AAAGACTTTTCACCTGGGTGACATTCTCTCCGTTCGGGAAATTCCCGTTTGGTTCCACGTCTTGCCATCCGTACGAATAACTGGAAACAGAACTGCTCCAAGGTTTCCATTTCCACCAGAGTATGGGAGCCGGGTAACCATCAGCATGACATTCCAGTGTGTGGTGGGACCCTACCTTGTAGAGAAACTCCCCATTCCTCACAGATACAATTGGCTTATCTAAAGGAAGATAGGTGACAACAATTATCCTCTCCACGCTATTTCAGCTTCACAGAGCATGTGCGAAAATTTCTCTAACTTTAAGGGGTAGGAACACTTTAGTTCACTGACAGTTTAAAAGTTATGAAAGATTTACGTTTTACTTATAACTTTTAAGATGTTAGTAAACTGAAGTCCCACAGGGACACGGTTCCCAGAAGAACATCGAAGTCAAGCATTACTGGCTGAGGTCAGTAAGCGGGTGGGTGACCACTTTGATCAGTCTGCATAGGGACAGTGGGTGCTCGGTATCGGTTCTCGTTAAACTGTACTACCGTAAAGTTCTCGACTTCGAGCGCAGGTAGTCAAATCAGGAGAGCCATCCCCTCTGCAGAGAATCAAAATTGGGATGGCACGCCTTCGGATCATCTTAAGGGATGTTTCCCAGATCGTCGCCAATAGACCATTGTGCAACTCTAGTGTGACGTAAATAAAGTAAATACCTATCTTGTAAACAGAAGTGTTCATATCGATTGATTATAAAGTATCAAATCAATTCAGTACCTCACTTGCCACGGTAGAAATGTTAGGTGCAAGCATAGGTATGAGTTAGAATTTGCTTGCACCTAACACTGCTACCGGGGCAAGTGAAGTTCTTAACCATTTATTAGTTATGGGCTTAGGTGTTGTTTTATTCGATTCAGCATACATCGAAAATATTATATCACTTGCGCAGACAGTTCATATTGAACCTCTACTTTGAAATAGTTTTCTCATAACTATTTTTTGCATTCAATTAGCTACGGGCCTCAAACTATTTAAGTTGAATCCTGCGAATTAATATTGGATGCTTCCGGACCGTCGCCAATAGCCCATTTTGCTGCTCTAGTGCGACGTAAATAACAACAACAGTAATTAGAACGAACCTTTGACTTCTAGAATGATGGATATGCTGCTGACTACATCTTTAACCTTTCCTACCAGAGTGTAGTTTCCTGCGTCGGAGCGTAGGAGNACAGCGACACGGTTCCCAGAAGAACATCGAAGTCAAGCATTACTGGCTGAGATCAGTAAGCGGGTGGGTGACCACTTTGATCAGTCTGCGTAGGGATAGTGGGTGCTCGGTATCGGTTTTCGTTAAACTGTGCTACCGTAAAGTTCTCGACTTCGAACGCAGGTAGCCAAATCAGGAGAGCCATCCTCTCTGCAGAGGATCAAAATTGGGATGGCATGTCTTCCGATCATCTTAAAGGATGTTTCCCAGATCGTCGCCAATAGACCATTGTGCAACTCTAGTGTGACGTAAATAAAGTAAATACCTATCTTGTAAACAGAAGTGTTCATATCGATTGATTATAAAGTATCAAATCAATTCAGTACCTCACTTGCCACGGTAGAAATGTTAGGTGCAAGCATAGGTATGAGTTAGAATTTGCTTGCACCTAACACTGCTACCGGGGCAAGTGAAGTTCTTAACCATTTATTAGTTATGGGCTTAGGTGTTGTTTTATTCGATTCAGCATACATCGAAAATATTATATCACTTGCGCAGACAGTTCATATTGAACCTCTACTTTGAAATAGTTTTCTCATAACTATTTTTTGCATTCAATTAGCTACGGGCCTCAAACTATTTAAGTTGAATCCTGCGAATTAATATTGGATGCTTCCGGACCGTCGCCAATAGCCCATTTTGCTGCTCTAGTGCGACGTAAATAACAACAACAGTAATTAGAACGAACCTTTGACTTCTAGAATGATGGATATGCTGCTGACTACATCTTTAACCTTTCCTACCAGAGTGTAGTTTCCTGCGTCGGAGCGTAGGAGGTGATGAATCTCCAAGACAACCGTTTTCTCCTTCGTCTCTATCCGAAAGTGACTGTTGTCTGGCTGAAGGAGCTGACCATCCTTCAACCAGTAGATTTCGGACACGCTGCTTGGGTATGCATCTACGGTTATGACGAATTTCACGTTCTGGCCTGCTTGGTGCACCACTGGTTCTGACAGATTCATATCAGTTGTGAAGTTCACATGGATTGGTTGTTGTGTTGCTGTAAAATTTAAAATAAACAGTTAGATTAAAAACGTATATAGGGTAGCGGTGAGGATTAATTTTATTTTGTTTTATATAACTGTCGTTGAACAGCAGACCCAATTTGTGGGTTTACGACTACTAATGTTCAACTCCGTAGCCATGTAATTTTCAACCCAATCCAGAAAACAAGGGAACTCCTGGATCAAGTATTGGGAAAAATTTGCCCTTGTGGAGGACTTTTTGATGGAACTAACCCGTATATGCGTTTCATGGAGAGGAACACCATGAAAACCTCCCACGGTTAGCAAAGGGACTCTAACACATGATCCGTCTACAACTGAGGATATTTCACGTCAGCAGTGTGATCGGTGCAAGTCGGATGCGGTTTCGTATCCACCAGCCATTGGTGGGATTCGAACTCGGTTCACCTCGTTGGAAGGAGTACTTTAGTTTCTGTCTGAAGGAAGTACGTAAGTTTTTGTCTTGATTTTCACACAGATAAAAATCTTTTAAGTTGGGAAACTATTTGGAACTTAAAACTACATTAAATATAGTTCTAAAAGAAAGCATGATGGAAATTTTAAAAAAATATTTTTATTATTTAAAAACGAAAAATATTAAGAAAAGGAAAAGTATCGTAGTACATTCCTATACAACTGCAACGAGGAGGAGGAGGAAGGGTGAAGGGCCAAAGGCATGGAATCGGTCTTCTCCCCAGATGGCGCGTATTCGAGCGTTGTGATCGCCTATGGTAAAAGGATGGATACACAGGAAGTTATTTAAAAATTTCTTCTGGTATTAGAAAGTTTGTTATTGTTTACATTCAGTCAACCATCCACAAGATTCGATAAAATAGTTACTCACTGCAAAAAAAAATCGCTTTTTATTTTCATTAAAGAAAAAGAAACGAATTTACTTTCCGAAACAACATGTTTTAGTTTTGTATTTTTGTAACGGATGAAAGAAAGGACTTTACCGTAAACGACAATGTTGGCGGTGGCTTGACCAGTTTTGAAGGAGTGGTCAGTGGCACTGCAGGTGTAGACTCCGCTGTCGTTGAACAAAGCGTTACTCACAGTCAGGTAGGTGGTCACTTCCTGGTGCTTGTAACCTCGGGTTGTTTTCCAGTGAGAATGGGGCCTCGTCACATTGATGCGATCACTCTGTCATAATAAAAATTATCATTATTATTTTTTATCACATTTAAAAAATAATGATTAAAATATCTTAAATCAGTTCTTACAGTTGTCATAATGTGCATCCTAGTTATTTTGAGAATTTTCTGGGTAATAATTAAAAGAACTTATATAATCTTAGATTTTTCATCGTATGCAGCCAATTTATATACTTATGATATTATATTGGTAATTGAAAAGGGCTGCACACGGCGACAAAGCAGAACATCTACCTATGGCAACACTTCGCATGCTTTCACCAATAAATTTGGAAGGCTCTGCAATGATGCTACCTTCAATATCTATAGCAAACGGCGCTATTTTATGCAAATATAACCAAATCTAGGAACATTCAAAGCATCGCAAACCTTACATTTTATTTATGCTGCGATAGAAATTTTGTTAAATTTGTTTTAGGCTAACGACCTGTTAGGATTTATAAATTACGTAAAACCGGGAAACACGGAACCGGAGGGGGGGGGGGGCAGAGGGAGCTCTAGCCCCCTAACATTTTATAAATAGAAGAATACAGCCCTTCATAAGATTAAAATTTTTTACTCAATATCTGTGTAATGAAATTTATAATAAATAAATAGATAACATTTTTGTGTTTAAAGAAAAAATTTGAATAGACTTTCTAAAAAAAAATATCACCATTTCAAGCGAGTTTTAACATTTTCTGGGTGAAAACTGTTACTAAATCATTCCTAACTCATCCTCCCGTACTCATACATTGCTGACCTATAAGGAAACTTTAGGTTTCAAGTGTCCCAGCCAACATAACTTAGAAAAAAGTAAAACAATATTAAAAAAATAC